CTTAGAATGAAGAAACATTCTTAATTTCGCTAGTAATCTGAGAGATTTTCTCACTGAGGAAACTAAATCATCGCCGAAGCCTTGGCAGCTCTCTGAGTTGTAACTTGGGAGGAGACGAAAGGTGGTGGTTGTTTTTGGTGCCGGTTCTGGGGGAGGAAATGAAGGAGGCGAGAAACCCGCTCAGCCGCAGTTAGCAGAACTTAATGTAGCAGTGGACAAATAAACCTTCAGTTCCGTTAAGATTTGTTGTAACGTCCACGTGTGCAATGCAAGTTGTTAGAGCTCGTTGTTGGATCTCGGTACCACTGTCGCCTGCCAGTCATCGATTGATGATGTCTGCCTGTGTAGGTGGGACCGTGCTTCGCGCGGCACCCTTCGCCCAGATACGGTTATGCTCGAGTTGGCGTGGTGGCGGTGGTGTCACCTTTCTGCCATGTCTGTAGTGAAATACCTGCAGGTGTAGGCGAGTGTCAGGCGGTGCATTGCGACGGTAGGGTCCGTCGACTCGTTTGCATGCCTCTGGAGGTTCTTAAAAAGGAGTCTATGGGCGGATGGCAGGTTTACTTTGAACAAATTTTAGTGCTCAAACCTGGCCGATGTTGCCTGAGAGGTTTTGCATGGAACAGGGGAATAGGACTTTGGTTCTATTTCGTTGGTTTCCGGATTCGAAGTAATGATCAACAGAGACAGTCGGTTGCGCTAGAGGTGAAATTCATGGACCGTAATCAGATAAAATAAAATGAAAGCATTCATTAAGCCTGTTTTCGCTGACCATGAATGAAAGTCAGAGGCTCGAAGACGATCAGATACCGTCCTAGTTCTAAGCATAAAAGATGCTAACTGACAATCCGTGGTGGTAGTATTTTAACCATCTCCGCGGGCATTCCCGGGAAACATTTAAGTCTTTGGGTTCCGGGGAAACTATGGTTGCAAAGCTGAAACTTAAGGAAACTGAGGGAAGGGCACCACCAGGAGTGAAGCCTGTGGCTTAATTTGTCGGTTGGAACGGCTTCCAGCGTATCGCAGTGGTTGTTTCTTATCCGACAGGGTTATTAGTGACAGTCAAACTTTCGGATACCTTCCTATACACCTACCACCATTCTATGTACCACCCGTCAACAAAAAACCTTACCTACGGCGGGGTAATTAGCCCCATACCTTCTGATTCTCCTTCCCTCGTGCTCGATGGTGGCCTGGGTTCAGTAGTTACCACGTGTTTTAGGCTGTTGGTAGGAAGCCTTCCCTGCACCTGTTCGAGACGTCGCGATCTCATGCGTTTATCGAAAAAACTCCAGTGGCTCTCGTCTGTTTGGAATAATTCAGCATGAAGTCGTTTATGTTTGTTACACTTCTCGTCGTCAAACTATTAAATTCGTGCAGAATACCCCCAGTCTATGCGTTTGATATTTTTTATAGATTACACCATCCGTCTGTGGAACATTGCAACCCATGTGCCCGTATGTATCTTCGGGGGAGCTGAGGGCCATCGTTCTGAAGTGCTCTATGGTGACCTTTCCTTGACCGGAGATCTCCTTCTGTCTGCGGGTATGGATCATACAGTCAAGATTTGGCGTCTTGACTCGCCAGAATTGAAAAAGGCCATAATCAACTCATTTACGCCTACGACCAAGTAAGTAATTAATCTGCAAATGTTGTGCCTACTTTAATGTTTTGAGTACAACTTATTATTCGCCTTGAGCAGCACTCGTATTTTGTTCGGTTATGTGATGCACACCGCGCCATTCATCTGCGCACGATCCTGCCCCCTGTCTTTCGGATTCTGTCTGGATCGTGTGTGTGTCGTAGCCCTTGTTGGATCAAGACTCCCGCCGGAGTCCAAACTGGTTATAGTTGGAAGCCGGAGAAAAGTCGAGACCTCAACCAGCTTGAGCCAAAGGTC